CAGCAAATGCTAACTGATACATCTAAGCCACCAGAACTCAATGCTTTTAAGAAAATTATGTAGGGCAAAAAGTCTTAAATTATATGTCAAATACAATCAATAGAACTTCACAACCACATGTAAAAGTTTTGCAAATCACAATGAATGTCAACTTGATGGACTTCATGGAGGTTGCTGGTTTTAATGCAGAACATGTGAATCTTACAAAGAAACTGCACACCAGAAGGCTACATTTTAAGTTTCTTATATCATAAAATAGTCTGCTTACTTTAAAAAACATAAAACAAAACAGTCTGTTACTTGCAAGTGAGCACTATAACAAACTGGTTTGAAGTAGAAGTGTGATGGAGTCTAATTTTCCCATTTTAAATAATGTAAAAGAGGCTCCCAGTATTTTCCTGCAGGCTTGATAACTTTCAAGAACACATTACTAACATTAAGTGGGAAACACTTGTGTTATTTACCCTTTGAGGTCACAAGCTGTAGAAAGTGTTGGGAACAGAAAAGAACAGGAATGTTTAAGGTAAGGTATTTTAAAGCAATGTTCTAAGTTGACTTCAGTGTCACAACAATAATCTCAAAAGTAAACAAACACTTGTTTTGACTTAATTGTGGCAAAAGGGGTAACAGCAGCAAAAAGCCAGGATGCCTAACATCTACAAGTCACATGACTCTGGCAAGTCACATCTCAAATCCAATTTTTTTCATCTTTTTCATAAGGCAGAAATACCGTGGCAGGCCAGGTGTGGTGGCTCATGCCTGTAATCCCAGCACTCTAGGCGGCCAGTCTTGAGGATCACTTTAAGGCCAGGAGTTCGAGACCAGCCTGAGCAAGAGCAAGACCCCATCTCTACAAAAAATAGAAAAATTAGCTAGGCATGGTGGCAGCGCCTGTAGTCCCAGCTACTCAGGAGCCTGAGGCAGGAGGATCCCTTGAGCCCAGGAGTTTGAGGTTGCTGTGAGCTGTGAAGACGCCACTGTACTCTAGCTGGGGCAAGAGAGCAAGACTCTGTCTCAAAAAAAAAAAAAAAATGCCACGGCAAACCCTTACTGAAGTACAAGGAAGAGCTATCAGGATAGAGGAAACATCAGCATATCTCTGTGTGCCAAATTTGGTGACAGACTATGGAAGCAATGAGAGGAGATTTAAAAAGTGTCTTTAGAGAGCACTTTAGACAGATCGTCTCAGGTATGGCAGATTATTTTTCCACCTCAGCCCAATAAGCAGTATCTCCTAGGCCCTTGCCTATCCCTCTCAGCCAAACTCACCTCTCCCTTCTGAAAGTTGGTCCAAATCTTCCAGTATCCACCAGTCTTTGATAGCTACCAAATCTTGCTATATTCTAGGGAGAAAGATCAGTAATTCCTGGAGCCATGCAAAGCTAGGCTTTTCACCTGTCTGTGACCCCTTTTCCTCTGCTCTGAAGTGCTAGTAAGAGGGTTCGGGCCAGAGGGGTGTGTTCTTTCAGGTGAGATTCCTATCCACAGGGCACCCTGCTTCAAACTTTGTAACACCTACTTTATTCTAAAGAAAATCAGACCGCCATCTGGGACCCCAATCTGCCTCGTAGAACTCAATGTCCCTGGAAACCAGGTCTTGTATAAATGTCTGCAAACTAAAAACCAAGAGGGCTAGACAGGCCACACAAGCAGGAGGGGACCAGACGAGACACTTGCTGAGGAGACACCACAAAACCCCACAAACACAACTGTCACATAGTAAGACTCGGTCTGCACACCCTTCACGATTATTTTGCTGGAAATTTGGGGACAGTTCACTAATAATATTGTTAATACGCCCACCTAACAGATGTGTAAACCGAGTTCCACGTAGATTAGTAACAGGCTCCTACAGTGGCAGAGCTGAAAGGGGAACTCGCACTGCAGACCACCCGGGCTCGCGGTCTGCAGACCCCGCCCCGTCCCACTCGCCATCTCGGACCCGACCACCCCATCGCGGACCTTCTGGAAGCAGCCTCTGCACCTCCGGAAGACCCCACCCGGCCTCCTGGAAGCGCGCCGGCTTCTGACAAAGCAATCCTTGACAGCACAGCCCGAGTCGCCCCTTCCCCAGCCCGACCCAGCCCGCCCGCCTGAGATGCCCCCTCGT